AAGAAATCAGGTTACCATCAGAAGAGGATTATAGGATTTGAAGGTTTGGATAAACTCTGGAAGGGAAGCGGCAATCGCCTCGTTGGGCATCTCTCCGCCGCGCGACTTCCCACAGAAATTCCATCCACGCGAAGAAATAACAATGCCGGTGAACATGGAAATCGCCCAACGGGACGACCAGATCGACCACACTCTCACTAATCGGAGCTTACTCGATGTCTTAATGGTTCCATCCCTCTGCAGTGGCTCCATTACCTCCTCTATCGAACGAGAGTACGACTCAGTCAAGATGGAAGACAAGGCTTGCTACGGTGCCACAAGAAGAAATGAAGTCGTTTATGCCGGTCACAGGCAGGAGGAGCTCATATCAAGTTGTGACTAGCCAAGGAGGCTTTTGAAAGGATTGCGAGCTTGCGGAGAAGCCCTCAGTTTATTGTACAGGATGTCCCAAAAAATGTGCACACTGTCTGATTTTCAATAACTCTCCTTTCTCAATGGGAGGCGTGCAAGTGGTACGCAGCCGACTGCTGCCGCACCAGCCGCCAGAGCTGCCGGCAAAGCCGCTGCAGATGGTACAGTAGCTACGCTCGTCGTCTGAAACTCTTGCCGAAAGGTTTTCTCGCACCTCATCACTCTGAGGTGCAAAATCACCTTAGGAAAGCGTGATATCCTCGATATCTATATCATGAACAGCAAAAATTTCAGTTTTTTGAAAAACATGCAAAAAACCAAGGGAAATAGAGGAGGGTTTTTCTAGAGGAAAATGATCACAAAATCAAATCACTTGAATGGCTCAAAGGAAGCAGAAGCTAAAAAAATTAGGAATTCTAAAACTTTTAGAGATTTTTTCTCGCTTTTACGTCGAAGAATGGACGAGAACAATTACAGGAAAATGTCATGGATATAGCGGTAAGAAAACACGATATCTACATCATTTTGAATAGCAGAGAAAAGCCAAATTTCATTGAGAACCAGACAGTCGAATACAAGACTACACTGAAAAAATTCCAGAAATTCACAAACAATTACAAAATTGAATGAATAGGAATTCAACAGTTTGTTCTGTTACAAATTTTTGAATCAAAGTACAGTAAATACCCGTTGACGCTGTAGTTTTAAGGATCCTTGATTTTCCAATGAAGAATTCTTAGAAATCAAATTCACTTTTCTATGAACACCTCAGAATTCGAAATGCGGTCTTGCTGGAGTGTTATCAGAGATGGTTCTTTCAATCTTGAACTTTCATTATTTGCAATGGGTGACCTAATTTGAATTATTCAGCTCGCTTAACACCACTATGTATGAAAATAATTATTTTGACAGAGTTTTCTATTTTTATATCCATGACATTTTCGTGTAATTGTCCCCTTCCGTTCTCCGACGTAAAAGCGAAAAAAAAATCTGTAGAAATTTGACTCTCCCTTTTTTACCTTTGTTTATTTGCATGTTTCTCAAAAAACATGAATTTTCTGGCGTTCAAAATAATGTAGATATCGAGGATATCACGCTTTCCTTAGGCTGATTTCGCACCTCAGAGTGACGAGGCGCAAGAAAACCTTTCGGCAAGAGTTTCAGACGAGAGCGTAGTTACTGTACCATCTGCAGCGGCTTTGCCGGCAGCTCTGGCGGCTGGCTGCGGCAGCAGTCGGCTGCCTAGGTACCACTTGCTACGCACCCTTTCTCAATGTCTTTTGCCGTTATTTAGGCACCGCTCTTTAGAGATGGTTTCAACTTAGATTTACAGTGTAAAGCTAATCTTCCGTCTTTTTTCGTTACTAGGACTACGGTAGGAACTTTGAAGAGGGGTTTGGGCCATAAGATCGCATTTCGCCTCGGAAAGGAACCAAGCAAGACAAAAACGTTCGTACCATGCTATTTAGTGTCACTAATTACAGATATGCAATTTGCAAACCACATCATGCTTCTTTCTTAAGTTATTTCAGGAAAATAGTAACAACTCTTCTTCCAATGTCCTTCAGAAATGTGACTACAGCTTTGAAAAGCAGAATTTTTGTAAAAAGTTGCGTAATGAAATAAGCATGCTTAAAAACTCTACAACACAAGTTTCCAGGTTTTTTTGAAATTTTCTAATCGAACGGCCCTGTTCACAATGGTGCTGCATGCTAAAAGTTCACAATGTAGTGCTATACTAGCGAAAAGAGATCTAACTTTCGCTCCATACTGCAAATATAACAAGTAAGTTGAAGTGAGCTTTACAGAATGGTACATAAACATCGTCGAAAGACATCGAAGCAAGCGAGTTATTAACGGCCAAGCAGTGTGCACATTTTTTGGTACACCCTGTTGAAGTAGGAACACATCTCAAGGACGGCCAAGGAGTTACTCGAAAGAAGAAGGTCTCTAAGGCAGGATACGAAAGCAACCAACCTCGAGCGACAGTTAGCCAACGCCAATTGCAGTACAGCTTTGCAGGAGGACTTTCGGAAGTACAAGCAAGCCAAGATATTGGAAGCAGCCAAAAGAAGAAGTCTTAAGGGCACCGTCCACCCAAATTCTCGACTTCCATGTTTTTGTCTCTCTCAGGCTTCTCAAGGCCCTGATTTCGAATCTGAGGTCGAGAATCCGCGAACCCCCAAAAATCCTCGTTTGCAGAACCGCTGCAACAAACGCGGACGATGAAAAGCCTGCAAGGTGGGCGGGGCAGCCACCTGGGTGCAGTGGCGGAGTCAGGGCCCGGCACGAGGTGGGCAAACGGGGTTTTCCAAAACGAATTCTCCTTTAGTCCCAATAGTTTTTACGAACACCCCCTTGAGCCCAAAAATGGCGCTTTGTGTTTGTGCAATGAGAGCACCGGCCACACTTCGCTAAAAGGCGCTCAAAAGCGCCCGAAATGCTCAAATTTCTCTAATTGCTCCTCACCTGTATCAAGATAGAAAACAGGAAGAAGAATGAGCAAGAAAAATGATGAAGGAATGGAAAAATATCAAAGTAACGCAGTCATAGGGCAGACGCCGTTCCCGCGCGTATCGATTGGCTGGGGCGCGCTTTCCATCTTAGAAAGCTAGGCTGCTGATGCGATTTTGGGCTCTAACAAAGACAAGAGGAGGAGTTTCGGAACCAAAATCTCACCTCATAGTAAACTTTAGGTGCACAACAGATTTATGTAAAAATTTTGAAAAAATTATGTGAATTGAAAGTTTTGCCCACCTCAGGTGGGCATTAGTTGGGCAATTGCCCACCTAATTTGGAAAAAAGTTGAGCACGCTCTTCATTCACATAAGTTTTTCATGATTTTGCATACTTTGTTCCCTAGTCCTACTGCGCGTATACACAGCGAATGTCGCGCGATTTCATCATCTCTGCGTTGCAAACGAGCCATTTTTCCATTTTCTTGATAGTGGGAAATTTTCAGAAAAAAGCTTGCCACAACCTTCAGTCACAAATTTTTCAATGAAACTTCTAAATTAAGCCCTGCAGGCCCGTGTTCATGTACCTATCAAGTTTCATACCGTAGGGTCATCTGTGCGCTGCAAACGAGCCATTTGAATTCACATCTTCATTTACCAGTTTTGCAAATTTTTTGGAAAAAATGCTTATTACTCCTCCCATTCGCATAAGTTTTTCATAATATTTCATACTTTGTTTCTACTAGCCTCTCTTCGTTAGCTCACGTAATTTGGTGCTATATCGTTACGCCTGCATTGAGAACTGACCATGTAATCATGCTGTTCAACGGCATCGCTCATGCGACGTCGCGCTCGCGGCAATTAGCGGCAACGCGGCGTAGCGCGCGCGAACTCTGCTGTGCGTTGAGGTTTACGAAAACCATTTCCCAATGAATTAGATGTATAAGGTAATCATGATTCGACCTTCTTTTGCTTGCACTTGGAGTCTTCTTCCAGGGCTCCGCCGCGGATCCCGCAAAAACGATATCCCCTTTGCTTTTGGCCCCAAAACGATTTCCAGCTCGTCATTTGCCCACCTCGTGCCGGGTCCTGGGCGGAGCGAGGGGGGCCTTCCCCCCTCCCTCCGAGAATGGGTCGGAAATTTTTGATTTACTTACATGGGCTATAAAAATGTGCAAGTGACTTGTTTATTCGTGTAAACAATTGAAATAATTTTTGAAATTTTTTTGAAAATTCGAATTGGCCTTGTAAAAAATTTTTTCCAGTGCAACTATAAAGAAAACATAGATTACATGTGATCCGTTGATGGGCAGTGAAGATGTGGAACTCCTAGATATTTGCTTTGGTGCACGTAATTGAATAAATGTAAAAGACATAGGCCGTACTCCCAAACTGTTCTTTTATTCTTGATGCCTATCGTAATCGAGACTGAGGTGAAGTGCCAAACTATAGATAAGTCACTGCATGCAGAGGCCACTGCAGACGCTATCGACGCTTCCGTGAACGCGCGCTCTTTTATACCTCATCCCGTCGGAGTCTCTTCGAACACGAAATGCTCATAAGGGAATGGTCAGAGATCGGTGTCCAATTTAAACAAGCTGCATACCATTAGATGTGGCATAAAACGCTGACTTCCCATATCTGCTTAGCGGTTATGTGGGCAGAGTTATTAGCCGTTAAAGGCCGATGTTTTGCTAAGAAATCGTGCATGCGCAGCGCAATTTCGGCTGTCCAGAGCCATGTTCGTTTTAATGCTGGGCCAAAACATGCAGCTAGGTTACTTTACATTCTTAAACCCTGAAGGTGAGCTGAGAATGCGACAGTAAGCCTAATCTCGCGATTTTTTGTACGATTTTTTCGCGATAAAACTGCTCATAATTTCGTCCGCAAAGGCGCTAAGCAGATATGGAATACAGATTCAACATAAGCGCTGAATGCTGCATCGGACCGTAGGCAGCTTGCTTGGATTGGCCACTTTGACGTCTGACCATTCCCTTGTCAGTAGGACCGGGCGCAGCGGCGTTTATTTTCTGCGTGTGATGAATTGCCTATAACTCCTTCACTGCAGTGCACATCAAACACAACACTAAGCAACATTGCAACAGAAATTCTCTCACATAAGCCTTGTGCTTACTTATTCTTTACTAAGAAAAACAAAATAGCTGACAACAAAGCTTTATTGCAAAAAGAAAAATTAAAAAATTGAACTGGTGCTGTAAAAGATGTACGGGTGCTGGTACGGCTGTGTTAGCACGCATGACTTTTTGATGTGGAAGCTTGCGGTTGCATCGTTGACGGACCACAACTCTCACTGAAGCAGAAATAATTTGGCAAAGAAAGCACGATGATTTAGGTTTAAATTTTCGTATGATAACACTATTGCATACTGCTGTATGTAACTTTAATGCTGATGAAAGTTGAAATAAAGATTTCATCCAAAAAAAGTTTGTTGCGACCAATATACACTGAAGCAAGCTCGGCAAAATCTAGTCTTAATGCTTGCGGATATCAAGCACAACGATATGCAAGAATCTTCTCTGGAGCAATTCAGAGGTGCGATCTCGCCAGGGTAGTTCAAGACAAAAGTACGACTGATTTTGAGATGAAAATTATGTTTTAGAAAACAGCGATCATCAATTCTTTTTGGGAAATCAAAAGATTGTACAGTACGGTGGTACAGTGGTGTAAGCCAAGCGCATAACATGTATGTCAGCTGATCAAAACAAATGGGATCGGAGTCTCTCACAAACTTCCACAAATTATTTTCTCATAACACCGCCGCTACGATGAAGTTTTGATCACTATTACAAGTCAAGGGAGAAGGTTGACATGGCTGTGCTTCCGCACTTTCCGCCTTCAACTATTGTGATATGAGCAAAAAAGTTGTATTGCGTGTGCCTTGCTCAAAGCCGTGATTTGCCGCAGGAGAGGGGGTGGAAGTTTCTCACCCGAGCCGTATTTTCGCACCTAAGCATGTGCCTCCATGCACATTGGGACTCCCTATAATCACTAGCTCTTCAGGATGCCAAGGCATTGCAAGCCTCGCCCCCTTATCCAGTGTCGCTTCAGATGCTGAAACCGTTAGTTTCAAAAAAAGTTTCAAAATCGAATTTCAGTAGCGGAATTGCTCCAATCAAGACCAAATCTCGGATTTAGGGGGTTCTCGAGGTTGCCCTTTTCAGTAGTGAGATTTGTTTGTTGCAAAGACAAGGTTCAGCACCGGTAATGACCAACCAAGAACACATCTGGATTTAAAGGTTTTCGAAATTTCCTTTTCCAAAACAAGACCGAAGGTTTCCGGTTTACGGGTTCTCGAAGTCGCTTTTTCGATAAAGATGTATGTTTTATGCAATATCAATGAAGATTTGATTTTTTGAACATTTTTGAGACAAAATTTGTCTCGCCAATCAATCGTCTAGGACTGGTAACCCAGCCAAATATAGGTCGGTGCGAAAGTCTTGTTGGTCTTTTAAAATGACCTGCAAATTCCGTACAGTAAAGATAAACAAAGACTTCAAGCTGTATCCGATGCAGAAGTTCTTCCTCTTTCCAGCTGTCATATTCCCACCGTGAGTTGTTGAAAGAGTGCTGAGGTAATCACTAGAAATTACAACCCTTCGTTTTCACCATGATCAACTTTCGCTTAGTGTCAAAATTTCTATATGAGATCTTTAGGGAACATTTAATAACCAGAAGGTAGGGCAAACTTTTGCTAAGTGCATCAAATTGGGTGAGGGAGCTTAGGAACCCGAGCCTAATTATCTCGATTCGGGGAGTGCCTGCAGGTTACAGTCACGCTCGCTGTCTCTGATTGCTCACTAGGACATAGCAACAATCTAAGCCCCGCCCCTATGAGAGCCTGTTTGGAACCTAGCCAAGGAATGCTAAAAATCTCAATTGAATTTCAGGGCTGGCTCCAAGCCAAAAACCTTCAGAGTGATCGTACGAAGGTGAAATTAGGCTCAAACGAAAGAGAATAACCGTGCCATCATCATAAAGTATCTACTGATTGAAACTGATGAACACAACATTCTCTTGGTCCAAAACTTTATTTAAGTGTTAAATACTGAGAAATTATTCAAAAAGCCGTCAAGTTTTTCAAAAAAAATTTATTTGAGTGCTAAATCCTAGCAAAAGACTAGAATAACATTAGAAAAATGACAGTAAACTTTCCAAGATTGATAGTTATTCAAATGCTGAAATTTAGGCGAAAGACTAGAAAAACAATCGCGAAACGACAGTTTGAAATTCTCAAAAATAAAAGTTTATTTGTGTGCGGAAGTCTGGGCAAAAGACTAGAATATCAAGAAATGACAGTTCAAAAACTTCACTAATGACATTGCTGAGTCTGTCAACGACAGACGGTTCTGATGTGCGAAGAACATCCTGCTAATATGCTGGAAGCAATGACCTCAACCTACGTAAGGAAAGATTGCAATAACAGTTTGAGGCAAAATTCCTTATAAATAGTAGCATAAAGGGTGAAAACCACTTATCGTTACTACCGATATCTCAACTTCCCATGTCTTACGACGATTATTTTTATTCCCACATGCAGCATCTGCTGCAACAATTTTATTCTTCGGCAGACCCCAATTGTGTTCCTGTACTAAATTGGGAGCCTCAGGTGATTTTGGGGGCAATTGTTGTAGCTACTGAGTGGAATTTCTTGATGTGATTTGCTCAAAATTCAGAACTCAAAAGAACTATTATTTCTGAGACGTTTTTGATTTGTCATTTCTTGACATTCTAGACTTTTGCCCAGACTTCCGCACACAAACAAACTTTTATATTTGAGAATCGCAATTGATTTTCTAGTCTTTCGCCTAAATTTCAGCATTTAAATAACTATCAATCTTGAGAAGTTTCTGAATTGTCATTTCTCGAGATATTCTAGTCTTTTGCCCGGATTTAGCACTCAAATAAATTTTTTTGAAACTTTTTAATAATTTCTCAGTAAACATTTAAATAAAGGCTTGAACCAAGAGAATGTTGTGTTCAATCAATCAGTTTCAATCAGTAGATACTTCATGATGATGGCACGGTTATTCCCTTTCGTTTGAGCCTAATTTCACTTTCGTACGATCACTTTGAAGGTTTTTGGCTTGGAGCCAGCCCTGAAATTCCATTAAGATTTTCAGCATTCCTTGGCTTGGCTTTCAAACAGGCTCTCAGGGGGGCGGGGCTTCGATTGTTGCTATGTACTAGTGAGTAATCGGAGACAGCGAGCATGACTGTAACCTGCAGGCACTCCCCGAATCGAGCTAATTAGGCTCGGGTTCCTAACAAGGGAGGTGTTTTCGGTCGAAGTGGCCTTTTGAATGGAATTGATACGACTATAAAGAGCATCAAACGCTGATTCCAAATCTGTCCTCGTTATCTGCCGAGCGCCCCTAGACGTCGAGTTATGAGCGTTTTTTGAGTTGAGAAATTAAATGCATACTTAGGACAATATTCGTCAGAATTGCTCAAATGGTCCAATGTTGATTATCAAAGCACTTCATTTGAACAATATCTTTTATCCAAATCATTCATACTTGACACTGCTCTATTTGAGCGCTGAGAAGACCGTAAAATTTCATTTTACTGAGATTATGCGTTCATTTTTCGCACCAAGAAAATATTCATAACTCGACGTCTAGAGGCGCTCGGCAGATAACGAAGACAGATTTAGAATCAGCGTTTGATGCTCTTTATATTCGCATCAATTTAATGTGAAAAGGCCACTTCGACTGAATACACCTCCCTTGTAAGTTCCGTCCCCCCCCCCCATCAAATTTTGTGTCAGTATTTTGTGCCTTCAGATTCTGTGGTGGAGACTTTATTGACCTTACGTTTCGACAATGTCGTCGTCATCAGAGGTCTGAAAACGGATTGTAGGCTCGTTGACTTGCTCACCATACCTTCAAGCGCCTCCTCCCACTCTGTTAGTCTAGACCTAGTCTAAGACTCGCAGTATGAGAATCATCAAGGCCACGAAACGAACGAACCTCGACTCCACCGGCTAGCGACAAGCCCGTACATATGGTCGTAACGGACGTCACTGAGTGTCACCCAATGAGTCAAGCTCTTTTATGTGCAACGCTAAGCCCGCATAATGATATGAATGGAGCTAAGTCACTACTGATAGACAAGCACTCATTTTTGACGTTCATCTTAAAATTTCTGACAGAAATCCACGCGGCTTTAAATAGTTTCCTGGCGCAAATCTCAGTCTCGCATGTTAGTATCGTGCATTTGACTTCGTAATCATTTCCGCAGTGCGCCTCTATCTTGTGCCGTCCCAGCGGTGCTGTTGGAGTCCCTCGTCTTTTGTTCGCTAGATGCTCTTTCAACCGTACACCTAGATTTCTACCCGTTTCTCCAATATAGCAGTCTTGGCAGCTGAGACATTCTAGTTCGTACACCACACCTGTCTTTGCACAATCTCCTATTCTGCCGTAGGGACAAACTATGCAATGCTCCATCATGCACTCATTATCATAGAGCCTGTTCCGCACCAACTGCTTCTTCAAACTATCATTCGGGATGTTAACAAGCATTACATCTTCCTGCAGTTGGGCTCTACAGATGCATTGCTTAATCTGCCTACTAATTTCGTCTGAGTCAAAGGGAATGCAAAGAGGGATCTTATCGCATTGCATTCGGATATGTTTTGTGGAACGCGTACATAACCTACGTTGATGTTCTTGTAGCACATATCCATTGTTACGCGCGATTTGTGATGCAAGCTCTCGTGACTCAAGCCGCTCTTCGTAACCCGTGCACATCGTCGAAGCAGTTTTCATCTTATTATGGATAACTGCTTTTTTCATTTCTGCGGAGTGAGCTGATCTTGCATGGAGCAAGATATTCTTGCAGGCTCTTTTACAATACCTTTTAACATGGAGAACACCATCGAATAAGCTGATCTGGGTGTTTAGGTAAGGGAGCCATCCCTTCTGAGGGGTTTCTCGAGTGAGCTTGATGTATTGGGACTGCTGGTTTAGCAGCTTGAATAACTCATCCATTCCGGATTGAGTTGATGTTATAACACAGCAATCATCGATGTAGCGACAATACATCAGAGGCATACGCGCAAGCACTGGCTCCTCAGTTCTACTCACGAAGCATACCGCGAGGACTGGCGCTAGGCGTTGGCCCATTGCAAGTCCTCGTATCTGAGAGAAGTATCTCCCAAACCACCTAAAGATGTTACAATGTAAACATGCATGAATGAGGGTCAGTACTTGCGTTTTACTCAATCCAAAGGTACAGATCGTCGTCATGTGCATATCCAACATTTCCGAAAGAGCTTGTATTGCATCATCGTTGTGAACATTGGTGTACAGGGAAGTCACGTCAAAGGACTCCATGACAACGCTATGTTCAAACTTCGTCTTATGCAGTAGCGATCTGTCGGTCCTCCAACACAGCTAATGATGGGTCGAATTGGAGGACCGATAGATCGCATCTCGTGGTTTCTAAATAAAATAGTGAGCCAACTCTTGACAAAGGTGCCCGCGCACTTATCCAACACTCAGCAATTCCTAGAGCTATTGCATAAGACGAAGTTTGAACATAGCGTTGTCATGGAGTCCCTTTGTGACTTCCCTGTACACCAATGTTCACAACGATGATGCAATACAAGCTCTTTCGGAAATGTTGGATATGCACATGACGACGATCTGTACCTTTGGATTGAGTAAAACGCAAGTACTGACCCTCATTCAGGCATGTTTACATTGTAACATCTTTAGGTGGTCTGGGAGATACTTCTCTCAGATACGAGGACTTGTAATGGGCCAACGCCTAGCGCCAGTCCTCGCGGTATGCTTCTTGAGTAGAATTGAGGAAAAAAATTCCAATCAGTACTACGTCTTTGAGGCTGAAATTTTTTGTACATATACAATATCAAAATATAAAACATTTACCACACTTGGAAGCAGTCGCCTTTTCAAAAAGAAAATTCATCCTGCATCTTCTGCTTCAAAATGTATAAAAAGTTTTGATGTGGACTGCCTTTTCACCGAATTCTCAAGCATTTGTTTGACTCGAATGAAGGTCCTAGGCTTCGCCGAGCCTTTGTAATGAATATGGTAAAAAGCGCAGGAGTCAACATGGCGTAGTCGCTGATATTGATAAACGAGCCCCAATTTCACCTTCAGGAAGACGAGTTTTCGAACCGCAGAAATTAAGTTTCAATGCCCGAAAAGCTCTGTCACGTGCTCAGCACGCCGCCTGTACAACGATATACTCGTGCGCACAGCTTGAACGTCATCGCAACTCTCAAGATTTTGATTCCGCCTTAAACGCCTTTTTTCCAAAAATGAGTGGTGCACTCTGCCTGATCGTGACATATTTTGACCTCTCGATCGAGCGGAAAACCGCTCAAAACTTCAAAATTCTAGTATTCCTGACATTTTGTAAGGTTCGATTCGAAGAGGAGTTCAAAGCAGTAAAATTTGAAGTTATGTGAGATACACTGCGCACAACCGAACTGCAGACAAGGCGTTCTAAGTTCAATGCTGCAAGTACGTCTTTGTAAAAAGCCTGACAGCTTCTGCATGAGTACGTAACCATGCAAACAAGGTGTCACTTCCAACAAAAAAAATTTTGCGCGTCAGAAATCGAGATTTGCGTTTCAGAAGTGCGTTTACACCTGGGTGAGATTGAGCTTCGTTCATCAATACCAGCGATTACGCCATGTTGACTCCTGCGCTTTTCACCATACTCATTGCGAAAGCTCGGCGAAGCCTAGGACCTTCATTCGAATCAAACAAATGCTTGAGAATTCGGTGAAAAGGCAGTTTTTCCAAACATCAAAACTTTTTATACATTTTGAAGCAGAAAATGCAAAGTGAATATTCTTTTTGAAAAAGCGACTGCTTCCAAGTGTGGTAAATGTTTTATATTTTGTTATTGTATATGTACAAAAAATTTCAGCCTCAAAAAACGTAGTACTGATTGGAAATGAGAGGTGGCTTTATAGCTGTGACCAGCCTTAAGAACCCGTTTTTTCAAATTTTTCAATTTTTCTCCGGCCAAACTCAATGAAATTGGGAGCCGTTCTGGTCAATGATATGACGTTGGTTTGCACACAGAATAGAGGTTTTTCAGACAATTTCGAACAAGAGAGAGCAAATTACAGTGATTTTTAAGGTGGCTTTATAGCTATGGCCAGCACTGTAGTAGGTCAGAGTCGTTTAGGCATGCTAGCAGAAAATCTACAAAATTTCAGCGGATATTTAGCTAAAATTAATTGCAAAGGTATCAACAAATCTCTCCAGAAAAAGGTCTTTCTTATCATTCATTATCATGAAAAGCACCAGAACATGAATCAAAAAAAAGGAAATTTCAGTATTGAAAACGCATTCAAACTCTATGAAAAAGTTGTTGAAAAATGATGAGAAGCTCAAATTATTCGGTTGATAAGTCAAGATTTAGCTTCAAAACTGTTTCAAACCGCAATAAGTCAAATTTTGCTTATTCTAGATACATTCTGTGGTTTTGATTCTATAGAGCACAGCAAGCTCTTCTAGGTAGTGTTTTGGAAATTTGCATCAAATTTGAACTACGCGACTTTGTAGTCAAAAAACTAGAAAAATCCAACTGTCCGAGAAATCCGAAAGAATCAGAAACTCCATCAAAAACTGCACTTGTGCAACTTGCTGTTTTTACATCAGAGGTACCTATATACACATTCTCTGGTTAAAAATCGAGAAAACGGTATTTTTGCTTCCGACAAAGCGATGCCCAAAAGTATACTTCATAACTTCTCATCTGTCACCTTCCATCCGTCATTATTCATCCATTTAAAGGCAGTGTCCCGGCAGATTCGCACCCTGGGGGATATTACCATGGTGGCGTTCCTAGTCATCCCAATGACCTACCGGCGCAGTCCGGCTGGTTGATGTTCCCTCTGGGCCGAGAAAATAGCCCTCGACGGCGCGCGCAACCCCAATCGGCGCGCGCTGGACGACTTCGCTTACCATTCGGCGCGGGACCCCACGGCCGCTCTCTCGCATTTTGCATGCTATCCAAAGCAAAAATTACAGGCAGCAGGGTCTTCGTGCCAGGACCTCCCAACTTTCTATCAAAATTCTCGTCCAAGCTGCTTTTTAAAAATTGGGTAAGGGCCCCAAAAAAGGTCCTTTCACCCGTTTTAAAGCTCAAATTCGGGGTCTACGGGTCGAAGAGGCCCAAGACATGCAAAAAGATGGAAATGCGAAATCTGCCGGGACACTGCCCTTAACAGAACACATTGGAACTATTCTCCAAGCCTGCACAACTCGGAATAAGATTAGCTAGTGGGCGGAGCAAGTGGGCGGGGCCATCTAAAAGGTGCAAAGGCCCCTTGGAGGTGCTAACTACCCCTGCAAGGAAAGGCGGCGAGGCTTTGGGAACTCCTGGGCCTCCGCCCGCTGAGGCTGCCCCAGTGCCAAGAACTTCACAGTAGACCTAGAAAGTTCGGAAGGTTGTCAAACAATAGAAACATATTCATCACTTTGTAAACAACCGAATTCAATTGTGCTACGGATATTTTCTTCATTTGAATTACCGGTAAACTTGAATTTTCATCTTGTTTTGAAAAAACAATCCCAGTAAATCTGAATTTTGATGTCGACTGGACTTATCGATGCTGCACCTTGACCTCGCAACAAACAAATTTCTACTACTTAAAAGAGCAACCACGAAACCCTAAATTCGGAACTTGGTCTTCACTGGAGAAGTTTCGCTACTGAGCTTCGATTTTGAAACCTTCTTTGAATTACCGGTTCAGCATCTGAAGCCACTGGATAAGGGGGCGAGGCTTGCAATACCTTGGCAACATGAGGAGCTACTGATTATAGGGAGTCCCGATGTGTGGCAGGCACATCATTAGGTGCGATAATATGGCTCGGGTGAGAAAATTCCCGCACCCGCAGAGTAAGCAAGCACTTCACTGTCATTCTACCATACCCAGTGCTAGCTAGCTCGAAGGGTGCCGGAATTCCTGAGATTACATCTAGCAGTTTCACACAAATGAGCCCTGTGACAATAGGAAGTATCACATTTAAAAATTGGTATCGCGATTCAAAGTTCAGAATTAATCTAAGGCCAAAGCAGAGAAAATTATGCGGCATTCGAGTGTTCAAATTCGCAATTTTACAGCTCAGTTTACCAATTCGAATAGAATACACTACTGGATTAAGTCGGGCACCAACTGTTATAACCGCGCTCTTCCTCCTGCTACTGCTTTTTCTTTCGGTAAAGTACGGAATGCGGCTGATAGCTGCGTGCAACAGGCTGAAGCAAATGTGCAGTGCTTATGTTATGGATGATTGTGCAAGTATATTCTTTTCGCAACTTTGAGAATTTAAGATTACACGCAATTAATGTTCTCGCAAAATATGATAAGCTCTATACATATGCCGATGCCCGAGAGAACTCAATAAAGGTTATGACATGGCTAGCCAAATTTTGTATTAGGTAGAAGCAGTGACAGCTATTTCATGCCGAAACCCATTTCGTGGGAAACTGGTTCGCGAGAGATTTAGTCTGTTTAGAGAACAATCTAAACTTAGCACGCGCTGATAATTTTACTCAACTCCGTATATGATCCGCTTCGTTTCGGATTCACCTCTTTCATTCAGTCTACTATATTTTGGAGCCTCACCCAAATTTACAAGTTAAAGGAGCTTTTACTTGATGAGCTTTTATGTAAGATAGAAATGCGGTGTTGTTATTGGCTTCATGTAAATGGGAAAAAAGTATTTCAGGATTGAACTCGGCAAGAGAAATTTGAAAGAACATACAATCCTTGTGAACTGAGATAAAATAAAAATAAACTAGACAAATTTGTACTCATATTTCAAATGGAAAGCTAAAGCTGTAGAGCACTACCGATGAAAATATATTGCAAACGTACTGTTTTGGTGCCGGTCGTTGTAGAAAGGAGCTGAGCAGATCAATTGGAAATGGGAAAATTATAGTTGAATTCTTCTCTGCCCTGAAAACTGACGATTTTCAAAAACCATGCTTCTTCGTTTCACTTCTCTAAGCCTCAAAGAATACGCAGTGCAATGGTGATGTTGCCGTTGGTAATACGTGGAGATCATCATTATAAAAATGCACACTTACGATATGCTATTCAATGTTTGTAAATAACGAAGTTGTAAAGCTGACGGTGACTCGGCAATGACTTCAGCTGCTGCTTTCAACGCACGCGACGCTTTTTGTTCACCTTCGGCCACAATGACCTGAAAAATGGCGAGCTCCACATATCAGAATTCAGAGCCTTTCGACATTTTTAAGCTACTGTAGTTCTTTACACGAGCCCAAAAGTCTTTAAGAGTTGATGAGGAGCCATTTTTTCCAAGTCTGTCCCTGTGGACGAGATGTTTCCGTACACTTTACGCCTAGCTGTTTGTATATATGCATGCATCTATGCGTAAAATATGAATGCACAAGTGGGCGGGGCAGCTCCGCCCCTGTTGGATCCGTCCACTTCTCAAAAAATGCCACATTGCTTGAAATCCACGAACTCGTGCAAACTCCGACATTTTTGAAGAGTGGACGTGCCAACTTTGTCGGCACTTTCAAACCGTGCCGTTACTTTACCCAAAGTACCGTAAAGGTCATACCATAGGCATGACCTGCTGCGATATGAGTAGGGTGTAGGCCCTTCTGAACCTGCTCAAATCATGAGACACTAAGAGGTCAGTGCTAATTAGAGGTCACTTCGTGATCAGGGCCGGCCCAGCACGAGTTGGTTTCTAGGGTTTCCGAAAACGAAGTCCCCCTGACTTTCGGAAGCTATACGAAGTCCCCTTTGACCTAGCTACTTAGAAAAAGATGAAAACAAGAAAGTTTTACTAGTCTGAAAGAAAAAACGTGAGATAAGAGTGAAAGTCGAGATTGGAGCTGAATACTACGCATGCACAAGAGTTGGGCATTGGAGCGCGATATTTAACAGAGCGATTTACGAAGAAATTGAGGCAAAAAAAAGGAAAGGCAGTGATATGAAAATGTTTTTATGCTCAGGGATAGATTTTTGACCGGGGAATCCGTCCATGATAGAAAAATCCAAAACCTATGTGAAGTGAAATTATATGCTCCAGACGATCTCAGATCGTCTGGTGACGTCTGGAGACGGACTATTTTGAAAAAGGTAGTACTTCACATACGTTTCCAAATCTTTTTGCATAATTTTTTTGCAAATAATTTTCTATGTATAAAGTTCAATTTTTGGTGCCATACGATTCTGTGTGCGCTGTAAACAAGCAATTTGTCTGTTTTAGCCTTGCTTTCAAATCGCGCACACTTTTTGCCATACACGATAGAGCATGTCAAGTGTGATAACCAGTTCGAAAAGCTTGTGTTAGACTAAATGGCGCTTATTCTTGATGCTCGGCCCCGACTTCAAAAACGGCGTCTCCTTTGCTTTTTGCTCCAAAAACGAAGCCTAGCCTGCTTTCAGACGATCTGCGCCGAGCCCTGTTCGTGATTGGTTGCCTTGCGGTGGTGAGCGGCTGACCTGAGCTGGCGCGTTGCGGAGACGGACTTTGGTAGTAATCTATTACCAATGAGATTTTGGAGGGAAATTGTTCACTGTACTGCTACTACTACGTTGAATCCGCCCCGCTTCCTAATGTGGTATATTTCCAACCGACAAACATTTTTGATATCTTTTGTTGCTTCGCAATTTGTAGTTTTTTTTTTCAAACTTGCGGTGAGTCCAACTGCATGCTCTCCTACGCCTGCCATCCTTGCAGCATCATCTAGTCACATTCAATTGAAATGTGCCCTATATGGATGTCAGTAAGGAAAGCATAAGTTTTCCTTAATGACGAGTGAGAAATTTCTAACAACAACTATATCAATATTCCCCCTGATCGTACCTCGCCGAATATAAACGAACACCTTTGATCGATAAAGCGATCGCATTTTCTCCGATGCAGTTACGCATCATGTATTTTGAATCATAAAAAATCCACATGCATGCTTGGATAACTTCAAGGTAATAGCAAAACGTCAAAACCCAACATGTTATGTTTCCATAGAATTGCTACACAAATTTGATTATGTGGGCTTTCCTTAGAAACATCAAGCAGCTCATATTAGCATAAAGATGTGATGATGCATGACGCTGTAAGGATCGCGCACAAAAGAAAATTATATAAGTGGGGAAAGCAAGAATACTGAGAGTAGGAGAATTTCAGAAAACTTGTGAGTTTTTTTATAAATCATGTAACTAAAAAAATTCCGAAAACGTCTTTCATATCGAAAAACATACTTGTAGGGAACAAGTGGGGCTTGGAATATCGAGAATTGGGGGTGGTAGCTATGTATGAATAAATTCAGCGAAACCGGCTTGCATTCTAAGATGCTGGAGCGGGATAGAAGGAAGCGGTGATTTTCGAAAGTACGAGTCCTCGAAGGAACACTCGTCCGCACCCAGCGCAGCGCATGCGCCCGCGCCCCAGTTCTTGATTAGTGGACGGTAGGTTTAGAAGGGCCATCTCCTATATAAATGTCTTATCGCACAAACACATGTAACATTATCTCGCCACGCCTGTATCCACCAACAATATACCACTGCCCCAATGCGTGCAAGTCGTCTGACACGATAAATCTGCCAGGCTAGTGTATTGTCCACATCTGCAGATATTCCTACTAAGGCGACAGCTACGCCTAAGGCAACGTTGACGTACGTCAATACACCTCGAGTTAAATTTGCTCCGCCTGTTATCGTCAGCACTCTACCAATGCACGAATGGGTGCATGTCGTCTGTTTAAAGCTTCAATAGCTTACATGTTCTAATAACATATCAGGAGCCACCATTCTCCACTACAAGCGCCAACCATTCGCCCAAGGCTACAATAAAGCCTATAACCACCATATTCATGTTGCGTCGGCCAAATATACGTAAGACCGATAAGTGCTTCGCCTCAACGACTGCACAAAAGTTAGCTATCCTAACTTTGGGACTTAGCGCCTAAAATTCGCTGCCTCGCATTAGCGACAGCCATTACCGCAGTCCGAAACTAAATCATTCTAATTTTTGCTCAAAAAGTAGCGAACGGCTCAAAAGGGGTAGGGGAACGAAAGCCGCCAGTTTGAGCCGCCTTTCGCGGCCAACTGGTCCTTTCGCAGTGTTGTTGCATGTCGTCCCAGGACCAGCAGTCCGCGATGACGGCCCAAACTGGCGGCTTTCGTTCCCCTACCCGCTCAAAAGCAGCCATATTTTTTCAACCACCGCTTTTCTTTACTAAAAACTCTAGCATTAAGGCGCAATCCCAATCCACTCAAAAGCACTAGCAAATCTGCTAAAAAATGACTCCTGCAATCTCAAGCTCAAGTTCATTTTACAAACTGATAGAGAGCTGCAAAAGAAGTGTTTTAAAACTTAGATATTCACCTTACTGTCAAAAGTTAAAGCAATCGATATTTGGACTCAATCGACCAATTTGGAGAATTTTGTATCAAGCAGTTGCTTTCCGATGCTAGTATTTTTGCTATCGCTGTAGAATATCAGATAGTATATGCAGAAACATGCAAGAACTTTGCATCAAGTCAAGTAGTTAAAGAACGGCAAGCCAGTTTTTTCACATTTTTTACATGATGCGGAAAGGGGAACGGATGCTCTAGCAATCACAATGGATTCCGCGATGATGGAAGAAGGCAACGAAAGTGAGGATCGCCTCAAGCAATATTCTTAAGACCGCACAACCGTGGCCCGCGGAGATGCCATGGATGGCAACGTATCAGCAACACAGAATAAACTGACGCAAGCCATCATGATTGGAGAGGGGAGCGGAACTTAGGAACCCGAGCCTAGTTAGCTCGATTCGGGGAATGCCTGCAGGATACACTCGTGCTCGCTATCCCCGTTTGCTCCTTAAAATATGGCGACAATCTAAGCCCCGCCCCCCTGAGAGCCTGTTTTAGAACCCGGCCAAGGAATGCTGAAAATCCCAATTTAACTTCAAGTCACTGAAACTGGCTCTCAGCCAAATCCTTCTGATTGGTCGCATGAAAGTGAAATTAGGCTCAAACGAAAGAGAAAAACCGTGCCGTTATCATAACGTATCTACTGATTAAAATCGATGGAACACAACAGTATTTATTTTGTTCAAAAGTTTATTTAAGTGTTAAATTCAGACAAAACACTGGAAAATTATTTGAGAAATCGTCAAGCTTTTCGAAAAAAATCTGTTTGAGTGCTGATTTTCATATTTAAAGGGTAAAAAAACTAGGAAATCATTTTAGAAATGACAGCTCTAGAACTTTTGAAAAATAATGGTTTATTCAAGTACTAAAATTCGGGAGACTAACCATTCAAGAAATGACAAAGTGCCAAAATTCGGGCGAAGGACCATAAAACCATTGAAGATATGACAGTTTAGAAACTTATCAGAAATAATAGTCTATTTGTGTGCTGAAGTTTGGAAAAAAGACTAGAAAATCATTCAAAGAATGACAGCTCAGCAAATTCACTCTTGATATTGCTGATCAAGGATGGTCTGTCAACGACAAACGATTCCCGATGTGCGAAGTGTATCCAGCAACTATGCTTTAAGCAATAACTCAACCTACGGCAAGAAAAGGTTGGAAGAACAGTTTAAGGCGAAATTTTTTCTATAAATAGTAGCTTAAAATATGAAAACCACTCATCGTTACTATCGATAATCTCAACTTTTATTTTTATATTTTTTTTCAGGCAACTCTGACAGTTATGATTATTTAATGTCATTTTTTGAATGTCTTTTACTTGAATTTTATGACATAAATGAATATTATTCTTGAATGATTTTCTAGTCTTTTGCTCAAACTTCAGCACACAAATAACTTTAATTATTGAGAAACTTTTGAAATGTCATTCCTCAAATGATTTGCTAGTCTTTTGCCCGGATTTAGCACTCAAATAGATCATTTGGGAAAAGCTTGGCAATTTTTCAATTAATTTCCCAGTGTTTGTCTGAATTTGACACTTAAATAAACTTTTGTACAAAAAATGTTGTATTACATCGGTTTAAATCAGTAGATATATTATGATGACGACACGGTTCTTCTCTTTCGTTTGAACCTAATTTCACCTTCGTAGGATCATTCCGAAGGTTTTTGGCTAGGAGCCAGTTACAGTGACCTGAAGTTCAATTGGGCAAGAGCATTTCTTGGCCAGGTTCCAAAACAGGCTCTCAGGGGGGGGGGGCAGGGCTTGATTGTCGCCATGTTTTAAGGAGCAAACGGAGATAGCAAGCACGAGTGTATCCTGCAGGTACTCCCCGAGTCGGGCTAATTAGACTTGGGTTCCTAAGTTCCCTCACCCAATTGGAGAATGTCGATCCAAAGAATGCAGTGATGTTACCCGAAGACCCAGGACTGAGGGGCGACAACCCACGAACAGTAAGAAAATTCTATCTCATAATCCTTACTCTGTATTTTCGTCGCTCAAAAATGAAAGTCGACTACGTCATGATGATCTGGATCTGCCTCACAGCTTACTAGTAAATCATCTACCAGCTGTCACGACTACATCAACCTAGACTCCGACCCCAACTGCCTAACTCCTCTAGGATGTCCACTACGATACCCCGACAAATATTAGTGTTTCTGTATTCTTATCCATAAAATTATTTATGATCATGTAATGCACATTGTCGCATCCGTTCCTCCCGCTGGCCGAAGTGTGCCGACTTTGTCGGCACTTTCTCACAACCGTGCCGTTACTCTAGCCAAAGTACCGTATCGGCACTTTTTCACAACCGTGCCGTTACTCTAGCCAAAGTACCGTATCGGCACTTTCTCACAACCGTGCCGTTACTCTAGCCAAAGTACCGTAAGGTCACATTGGCATGACTTGGTCTGGTGTTTCTGCTTACACAAGATAGTATTCAGACATTAGAAGTATAGTCGAGTAGATTTCCTGCTTAATATAGTGTCCTTGCACAGAAGGTGAAGAAATGCTGTAAAACTTGCGCGCAAACAAATAGTTTCGACTGTGACGCCGGCCAATTGCGGGAGCAAAATGCCGGCAGTACTGGCGTGGCTACTTCTTCACGCGCAAATTTTACCGCATTTCACCTTCTGTGCAAGCACACTATATTAAGCGGAAAATCTACTCGACTATAGCTAAGCTGATCGTTGAGTTGATGCCTATTTGTATGAGTGTTTCATGCTCCTATGTGCGCAAAGACCGCAGTCAAACTCGTTGTCACGGTTTTAAGAATGAACCATACAGAATTTGTCTCAAAACAAAGAAGTACTAATAAAGGGTGGGGGGGGCGCACACTACTTGTAGATGTCAATTAGAAATTGCCCCGACGCGGCGCGTTACAGTAACCCGGGCGGGAGGCAGCAGGGCCAAGAAAGATTTCTCAGAGGAAATGTTTGGGGGTCACATTATTATAGTGCCAAAAAGTAAATATTTTGTGAGCAGATGAATGGTAATTTCAATAGTTTCTTCACTATCTTTTTCATTTTTACACGATTTGGGGCCAAACTTCTATTGGACAGTAAAGTTTGACATGGTAATGTGAAAACATTTACAAAAGATGGAATAGTATATCTTGCGAGCCGGCTACCGAGCTCTCCTCGCAAATGATTTCTGCCAGTATGGCGCGAGCGGCGCCTGCGTAAATGATAGTCACAAGTTATGGGATACACAACTAATAAAGTTACTGCTCTGAGTTAGGCTTAATGCCCCTTGGGACACTTCGAAGGACAGATTTTCGCACCTTATTCGAATGATAAACACAACATCATGTAGACAAAACCAGGCACCCCTATTTGCTTGACATTCTAATTGGGAGAAGGCTATTTTGCACAGTATCCAACAGCCACCCTGCGTGGCTTATCTCTACATTTGCCTTGCGCGGCAAACCTTCCCTCCCCTTCTACAAAGACCGTAGGGTGTGCTTCGCGCGCTCGGTCCTGTGTGGTATCAACTTCGCAATTTGACGTCGTGCAAATCGGCCTACTCCTCATAATCAGCTCATAACTGCATGACTGACCTTAGCTCTTGCTTCTCGCGCAGCTTCAGCTTCTGCAGCCATAGCTCTCTGCAGCTGCACAGGCAGGCGAACGTCCTTGACTTCTACCCGTTCGACTTTGACCCCCCAGGGCTCCGTTGCCTCATCCAGTGTTGTCTGTACATACAATTGTTATCTCTATTTGAACAGAATTGAATTATACCTGCATTTGGTGTGAAATCGCTTCGCGATCTGACAGCATCTCGGCTAATGTCTTGGTTCCTAGTATATTTCTCAGCGTGGTTTGTGCGAGCAATTTTGTCGAACGCGCTGCATCCTCTACGTTTGTCACCTAAAAGTGGGGACTACTGAGGAATTTCTAAGTGACATCTATTCTTCAATGGCGCTAACCGATATGGTTGCATTTGATATCCGGAAGTATACGACTGCGTCTACAGCTACAGTGACTGAATCTTTGGATAATATCTAGAATAAAAAATCTCCACGAATGAATATAGAGACATCATTCGATATACCTCTTGAGGTGGTACTTCAAATGAAAGAACTCGTAAATCCACCTTTCTATATGTGTCAATACATGGAACAATAAAGAATATTCCTGCAATTCATAGCTCGTGCATACTCCGCACTTACTTTCTGACTCACCGGGTCCCTTTGCACCACCGGGCATAAGTCGTCCCAGACGAAATATAACCGCTCGTTCGTATTCCTGCACAACCTGCGAAAGGGCCAGTTATAAGGTGAAGCTACAATGCTCTTACTTGTCTTCGAACTCTTATATAAATGGGAATATAAGTGAGAGAAGTTATGAGATGGCGGAGGATTTCAAAACGTTTTGCAGGAAACAAAGTCTTTTTGTTAATAGAACATTCTAATGTACACTTTAGCGTATGCTCACCAAAAATCGAGGAAATTTGCAGGAAAGAGCAAAGGGACGGACGAATTTAAAAGCGTTATATCTAATGTATGCTGTCAAAAAAAGAAAACATGTAGTTTAGTAGTTACGTCAAATTCAACGTGCAAGGTTCCACCCCATGTGTATAACTAATCACATGGTGTGTATATTTGGGTCCGAATCGAATAGAAATTCGATCATTCGAATAAAACATTCGAATATATTCGCATTCGAAATTCGATATATGGAGTTTTTCCATTTTCGAATAATATTCGAAACTCAAATAAGTGAGAAAACGGATTTTTGAATAAAATTCGAAACTCGAATATTCAAAAAACAGAGTTTTGAATAAGATTCGAAAACTCGAATAATCAAAAAACAAGGATTCGCATGAAGTTCAAAAACTCGAATAAATTAAAAACGGGATTTCGAATAGATTTTATTCGAATGTTTATTCAAATTCATATTCGAATGTTTTCCGTACTTAGACTGATTCTAGTTTTGCAGAGCCAACTGCTGAGTACCAAGCTCGCTTCGCCTGCATTTTTTTCCACCAAACTCGGTAATGGATCTTTTTGGAGTCGTGATGACTTTGAACTGTATGGAAAGTCGCATTCCTCCGACTGCTTGCGACATTAAAAAAATAGTTGTGAATTTTAATTGATGCACTTTCGATCAATGAAATAGTTCGGACTGCTATTGGCAGCAAATAAGAAAAAAAAACAGCTATCGAATTCAAGCTCATGCTGCGAGTTCCAGGAAATGTAATGACATGCCTGTTTCTCTTTCCTTGCATTGCTCGTGCTTTTGGAAGCAACGGTCCACTATAGTGAGCACTCTTGCTTGTAAAACTCATGCTGCACAACTGCCTCTGTTCTTTACCTTAGAGATTTTTCGCTAATTCGTGTATTTTGAGTGAAGGACATTGCAGCTGTAGTGGAGGATTAGACAATTGCTGAATTTTGCAGTCATGTCACCTTGCAAAAGTTTGTTTAGTATATGGTACATGATAGTTCACAGTTATCACGTGCATCCAAGATCTTCACGGAGGCTTGTAGGCACTTCAACACCCGGAGCAGGCTGTCAACTATGGTGAAGACTAAAGTCGGACGAAGAAGGTCCACATTGAGAAATGCGAGGTTTGATTATGACAGGCCCGCACCTACTTCACGCGACAGTAAGCGATTTGCCAGTTACAAGATGCTAGCTATGGGATGGGAGTTGGTATAGGGGGTAAAAGGGAGATGCTGATTATGGATCAAATTTTATTTTGTCGAATCATCGATTTTTTGGAAAATTTTGAGCTACGAGGCTGGGAGTTTGGTACAGGGGGGGGGGGAGAGAGGGAGGTAAATGAGGGTGCTGATTATGAATAAACATTTACTTTGATGCTTTTATTGATTTTTGAAAGATTTTGAGCAACGAGGCTGGGAGTTGGTACAGGGGGTAAATGAGGGTGCTGACTGAAAATAAACTTGGCAAATCTGGAGCTAGGAGTGGATATAGGGGATATGAAGGTGCTGATTATGAATGGATCGGCTTTAGCCGAATATGTCAGCTAGTTTTAGATCTGGTTGCTCTAGTTATTCGATAAATCATTCGAATATTCATTCGAAATTCGACTCCCTATGTCCGAATATAATCGATATTCATTCGTTCGATATTTCTGATTTTCCGATTTTATGAATTCATTCATTCGAGAGTTTTTAAATCTCGAATTTATTCGATATTCGTTTATTCGAGATTTTTTAATTTCGAATTTATTCGATATTCATTTATTCGAAATTTTTCATTCTCGAATTTATTCGATGTTTATTCATTCGATGAAAAATTTCGAATTTACCCAAGTATAATGGTGTGGCACGCCGTAAATTTTAATATTGCGTGAAACGGGAAGAACGAATAGTTGAAAGTTCATCAACCAAGCACAAAAATCTAGAGTACGATTAGAGAACTTTCACAACTATTCATGTGCGCAGACTGCTCTCACTCAAGGCATTTCTCAAGCAAAAGTGAACAGAGGAGGAAATAATTTGTTCAACATGGGTGCTGAGTAAGCTTAACATTTTACCTGCGATACAAAGATGTTGGGTTCCAAAAAAAAAGAAACAGCAGATGTCACTATATTTGAATGGCATGGTGATAACTCAAACAATGCTCTTCGAAAATTGTCGGTGGAGAGTAGGGAGCAATCAAACTTCATGAAAGCCAAAACCAGCAAGTGAAAATGACCTCTGTAGGAAGATATGGCTGGAGCCTGTCATTCTTGACATTTCTCTCACTGTTTACTATATATTATCGAGGATATAATAAAATCCACCCACCTTGATACACATACATGCTGATACAGGAAGTGTAATAAATATTAGGAGGTACGAAAGTATCGTGAGGATCCAGCCGCATACGCCAAACTCATTTTGAATTGTTGCTGAAACAAAAGCCCATAATCAATTGCCATCCTCACTTATCGCAAAACAGCGAAATGCACAACAGTAGATGTCGTGCACCTAGCACTATGTTACAGCTAGGAAAGAATTCCTTGTATAATCTCCGAAACCTCGAACTTGCTGGAGGGGGGGGGGACGAATACTTAGAACCTGCAGTCTTCCCATATCGTTCAATAATGGATATATAAAATTTTTCTTGCAAAACCGTCAAAACAATCCTCTGAGCAGCAACGAAAAAGGGGATAACACGCAATAACGACTCACCTTCAACCTTGTTTTCTCATTTTGAACTCTTCCTTTCATTGAGCTGTTACAGAAATGCAAGCTGTTACTGTTTTTGAAGACCTAGGCTACTCACAAACTTTTTTCTACTTAAAAGGTTGTAGGGTTCGAAGAGGTGCAAGGTTTTGAGGACATTCATCATACATATTGGTAAGAGGAATGAACCTCATGCATTAGGATCGAATAACTTTTCCAGTCGTCGTATCTCATAAGTGATGAAAGATTCGAGCAGTGCAAGTTTCTCGGAAGAAGGAAACTCCTAAGAACTTGTGCTTGCACCTTATATGAATCTAGGCATAGTGTGCGTACTGCAATTGTTTACGCGCAAATGTTGTCAACGCAAGAACAACATTACCTCACTAGTATTGTTAATATATCGTTTATGGCAGTTACAGGTTATATTATAACGATCGTCAAATCTAGCAGGGTATGCATAATATAATGCATATGAATCGGCACCAGGGCTCGGCACGAGTTGGCACCAGGGAAATTTCAAAACGAAGTCCCGTTTGATATTGAAAATTTCGTATGAAGTCCCTTTTGACCTGTTTTGAAAACCCGTCATCATTTTTAAATTATGTAAAAAAATGTAGTAGTGTTTTCATGCATTTCTGATTTCATGAAAGAACTTTTCACAGCTTTCTGAACTTTTTAAGTGGTCGAATCACATCTTGAGAAGCAGAAAAAGCCGATTTTTCGACGGCGGAGCGGACCGAGTGGTTTTCAAATTGCTATAAAACGCTGAAAAGAGAACATTATAAAACTGTTTCTTCTCCGTATGTAATCTTTTACAGTGTAGATACATTTTATGTAAAAAAGTATGAAAACTTATGTGAGCAAAGTGTCGGTGCCAGCTCAGCTGGCATCCAGCTGGCACGGTGCCAGCTAATTCAGAAAAAAGTTCGGCACAGCTTTCATTCACATAAGTTTTCATAAATTTTTGGCTCGTAGTTCCGGTCCAACAACGCGCATGCACACACCAAATTTGGTGTCATACCATTGCGTTTTGGCTGAAAACAACGCCTTTGTTTGTTGATGGACAGCTTGCCAATGGCATGCCGGTGGCATGCCGGCGGCATTTTTGCGGCAGTTCTCCGCCTCGGCTCCTGTAGAAACGATATCCCCTTTGCTTTCCGCGCTAAAAACGATATCCAGCTTGACCCGGTGCCAGCTGTGCTGAGCCCTGATCGGCACTTATAATGCATCACCTTCTTTTCCCTCAGGTACAAAGACTTCTCAGTAAGTAACAGAACTTTCCTACTTTTCCTTCAGCGGGAATCTCTGTAAAAAGGCGCTTATCTCTGCTGTCATGGCACTGGCCTCGGACTCTAGTCAGATGAAGGGTCCACCTACGATCGCATGTAAAAATCGACATATTGTCCAACCTTACTCTAAACTTCAAAAATGACATATGCTTGTCTTTAGCAATTGTTATCAAGCAATGTTTCACAATGGATAAAAAGTTGAGGGCGGCAAAGCGCTTACCGGGAGACTTGCAGCATCCTTACTGGAGGCAAAGTAGCATTCTAATTACGGAATACCATTCAGAAGATTTTGCCGATATTTTCGAGAAATAGTAAAAAAACGATCGAATTTTTCCAGATGTACTATATTCCTATACTTGAAGTACTGTACTCCGATTTCGCAAACAATGCTTTGCAGTCATAAGAAATATCCACGCTGGAGTTTCAATTCTTAGATTATTCATGGGAAAGCGGGGCGCATGAGATGAAGTAGCGCCATGTAACTCAATATGTGTGTGCACAATCCCAATCACAAAACTATTTTGCTGAAATCAAAAATTATGTTATTCCTTTTGTTTATCCCCTTTTCCTAAAAGACAAGAATGAGAGCAATTAATCATTTCTTGGCTCTGTTTCATAAAAATCGCAACGTGTTGTGCGCAAACTAATCAAGCTTGCCACATTGAAGACATGGTGAGTAATGGGAAAGTTGCGAAAGACACGTGAGGATTTTTGATGTTTGACAAATTTTGGAGGACATCGCTACTCAATTATCGATAACAACTACCAAAGTTCGAGCATCAAAATTCTTCGGCATTGACTCTTTCTTATCTGTATCAAAAGAAGTTTAAAAAACTAGATATCTTGTACTGAGAAGAGGTGGAAGTCAAAAGCACTCAAACAGCATTCTTAGACTTGCATTCATTCTAGGCTAATGAACTAGTTTAGAGCTTTCACAACAAGCGGTATGAAGGAATGAAACGTGACGAAAAACATGTCGTGCCACAGAGAGAAGGTAGCAAAACGGTTTTTGTGCTCGTTATTCATAGTTATGCATCAGGTTTCGTGAATGCAAACCTAAGTATTCCAAACGTAACAAATTTACATTCGATCTAGAAACGAAATTTTGAGGCAATAGAAGGCATGAAGCACGGTCTGTGATGAGTTTCTATACTTGACTATGACAATAAATATGACTCGGCGATTCATAACACGCAAAGACTGGTCGCCGTTGCGTACGACCAAGATAGCTCGTGCATGAGGGAGAGACAGCAGATGGTAGGACTAACAAAAGAGTGCATGATCAGAGAGACTCCGATAGTCCGCAGTCTTTGCGTGTGATGAGCTGCCTATACATCTCTACTCAAAGCTTAGATATGAGTATGAAATGTATTCTCCGGCTAAACGCAGAAAACAATACTCTCTGAGGCGGTCTAGTCTACAAGCAATTTTCAAGATCTTGAAAGACAGATTAGAAATGCTTCTCAGTAAAAAAGTCGCCAACCTTCTTTGGCCCAAACTCAGAAGTGGAAAGTCGAACAAAGTCAAATATGACTAGTAACTGAATATTGTTACTAGTCATTGATCGAAAATTATTTCATACTATAACAGAAAAAGGATAAAGTGTGTAGTGGTTAGGGTTTTGCTTTTGTGGTTACCTCCGAGTTTTTGTATGAAAGAGGAGACAACTGAGACGCTCGGCAACGCAAAACGTACGCGTTCTTATTAAGACTGCAACAGTTGCCCCACTGCAAGTTTTCAAGAGAGTTTTCAAGGAAACCAAACGCTAGCCCGGTTCTTTTTCTCTACAGCAGCGTTCTTGCAATGTTTTCCTTTCATAAAGGAAAAGAAGTTACTCTTGCCTAAGCACACATCTGACTTCAAAAGTAGAAAAATGAATAGTTGTGCTCACATAGCGAATTCCAGTACACAGCCATTACATTAGTCCACTTACGCAGTATTTGCACAATTTTCAGCACTGAGTTGTTTCCCGTAATTTTCTATGCGCTTAACCCAAAAATGCACATTTTATCCTATTTGGTGACAGAGACTACATGCTAGCATTCATGCATTACACTTTAGAGCTTGAGCATTCGTTCTCCAAATTTGGACAGGTACTCAGCCCTGTGACGCAGACATCCGATAGAGGAAGTGAAGAGCGTGCGAAGTACGCACACTCGCGAGTTGGCTGAACGGGCGGCGTTGACCCCAGTGTACACTTATGAACTGTTCATTTGTTCAACTCAACTGGAAATCCGCCACCGTTGCGCCAAAATCTCATGAGTCAGTCCTGCGCGAACGCTGCTGCATGTGCGTTATTGGATTTGTGAGCAAACAAATTAGTGATGAAAGTGCAACGCTGACGTGTGGCCTGAGAAGCGAGCACGCGACTTTTTGGATGTCTTAACATCAGCATAATTTCGTCCACCTAGACTTGATTGATTATCATTCATAAGACAAGCTTATGGTGCATACTCACGTGTTTCATAACACTAATGTGAAGAAGCTTATAGATTTATGGAGGCGAGAATTATGAGTTACAATGAGCGCTAAGTAAAGTGGAATCAGCACCGATACTGTTAGTTAATAGCATTAAAATTTGGTTCAGAGCATACAGACTTCAGATTCAATTCAGATGAACAAGTCGCTTCAGACACCTATGTACTTTTCTAAATCAAGGAGCAGCTGCTCAACAGGCTAATTCGTGAGCTTTCATAATCCAAGAGGGTGTTCGAGTGGGGCATAAAAAGGTTTGGATAATCTCGGTCGAGCCAAAATCCCTGCAGATAAATGAAAATTTGAGGCATAAAGAGGTGCTCAAGAAGAATAAGGTTGTGCGCAGAATAGGCAATAAAATGGCATGTGTTAGTAGTATCAGCAAACTGCTTGAAAGGCTACCTTGCTCTTCTTGTTTGATTTCCTCTTTGTCAGATTTAGCCTTATCCTCCTTTTGTGTCCCATCTAGCTCAGCGTGATGAGGGAGTGCCGTAGTTCTATTCTGAGGAGAACACACATTTTAACTTAAGTGAAAATAGACGAGGATAAAGTACAGGGTTGTTAAGCACCTCTTCTAAGTGTTCTAGCGCCCTCATGGCCATGTTCTCAATCTCATCGCTAGACGAGCTGAGAAGATCGTCGTCCTTGCTACTACTACTGGGCAGCATCGGGCCTTCCTGTCCGAAGCCGTGCGAGGACAGCGACGTCTGCGAGGGCAACTCGGCCAGGCGCGTTTCAACCTTCGCCGAGCTCGCAGACGACAGTGAGACGATCGAGTTGCGCGCAGACATTGTCCGCTGGTGGTTGTAAGTGTGAAGGAATTGAGCAGTTCAATTTGAAGAGTAGTGGAGAATGCAGTATTTGTTGCCGCCTTATCAGCTATGAATGGAGGAGGGATATGGCATACGATGCCAGTGTAGTCATTCTCAAAGCGAAAAGACATGAATACATGATAGGAAGGGGCGCATCCAGGGCAAATTCGGGCTCAAAGGTTTTAGTGGCGTGGTGTGGCGGTTTCATTATCTTGCAGCTAATAGAAATCATTTAGTCCATCGCAGCTATGCTTACATTTACTAATCCATGATATTATCGTACTCTATGAGAGGAGCATATATTCTCAAATATATTTGGAATGCAACCGAACTCTCGTGAGAAGACGTGACTTACATCCAACAGCGATCAAAACAAACACAAGTACAACAAATATTACGCAGATGAACACAACGACTTTCTGTCCTTGTAAAGCGTAGACCCCTGAATAGAACACGTATTCTGTTGGTTAACAAAACTGTTGGAGTAGACATACCCATGTCTGATACACTTTCCAGAAAGCGTCGAAATCTGCTGCGGAAGCGAAGGCAGGTGAGATACCAAGCAACTGACAGCGAAATATGCTTTCATCCGCTTTTGCACGCATTTTAGCGATTTGAATGCAAGACTCCGAGAAAAAACGCTAACGAATTTCAGAGGCAACGCTCGCTTTCGCGGCGTTCGCTTTCGACAGTTTTTTGGAGTTTGTGAGCTCTAATCGTTGTACGTCGCTGGTGAGCAGAGAGCAGGCGATGGGATCGAAAAGAAAAGAGGAGAAGAGAACAAAGAGAGCAGAGTTGAGAAGTATGTGGTTGCCCAGGAAGGAGAGATGGAGTGAAATTCGTTGGTTTCAATTCATGCGTGTGACTTTTGCATTCAAATGTAACGCCCCTAGCTTCTTATTAGATTCACAAGCTTCTATTCTAGACGCTTATATATCGGAACATGGCGGAACATAAGGTCGTAGATGTAAGCGTTTCAAAAGCTCAATTAGACGAGGGCTTGCATCAAGACACTGAGATATTTGAAAAGAACCGAACGACTGAAGCTGAAGAAAACCGCTCAGTAACGGACGCATAACTGATGAGCTTGCTGAGCTTGCTCGTGTTCTTTTACATCTCTCTTCGCAACTGAATAATTACTGTTGACCTTGTCACATTCTTCAAAGGTCGCATTTTTCACTTTTTTGCTTATCATCATGAGTTTGGCACGGAGTGGCAGCTTTCTGACAGACTGATTCATAGGAGTTTTTTTTCTGCCGATCAGAAATAACGAAGCAATCGAGTTGATATATGATATAGTTGATATATGTATTCAAAGTCTATAAATACCATAAGAGAGAGGTGAGCGAGCAAAGCGCTAGATGCTAACGCAAACTCAGGGCAGAAAATTTGTACTCAGCTCTTTTCCTCGTTTTAGTTCACCAGTACATATGAACTTCTGTGATATACGAGCTACTACACAGCTAGAAAAGTCATTATATGAATTATCTTCTCCATTGATTTCCTCAGAATGACCTTTCGAAACAACGTATTTCTCTATCCGTATAACTAAAGAGAACGCTTTCTCTCCTATGCAGATTTCGATGCTTCCAGGTCCCTAGCAAAGAGACAAGGAATTAGCGTTGTTTTCCATTATTTTTTGTAAACTTTTGACTTGAGTCAATTCAAGCAAATACTTTGGAAAAGTCAGACTGAAATGCTCACCTCAGGTGAACCAAGGGATGGCAGGTGCGCCTTGAAAAAAATTGTGCTTCTCTTTCACACACATGAGTTTTTCATCATCATCCATATTTTGTTTTTGCTCTCTATTGCACGCCTCCGCACCAGAATGATGTCATTTCGTCTATGTATGTTCTAGATGGACAAAAGTTTACAATTATGTCAGTACACAGGAGATAGATGTTGAATTGCCTAAGCTTGTGCAAGATGTGATTGAGCGCCATGAGAGCTTAATTCCTCCCTGAGGCGATGATTTGAAAATATGCACACAGTAGCGCGCAATTATGATCCGCCCTTCCCCCCCCCCCCCCCGCCCTTTAAGACATTTGAGTCCAGGGCCCGGCAGAAGTGTGCAAATGTCAAGATGGAAGTCGTTGGGGAAGGGGGGGGGGATACCAGAGGAGATAGTGTTAACCTCTCGTGGAGGCCCATCAAAGTAACTCATGTTAGGAACTTTCACATGCACTACGTAACATTCCACATTCTCCCTGAATGACGAACAAGTTTTTGCATAGCCAATGTCTTAAACTCGACGTTGCCCAAAGCCGCAAAACTCGAAAAAAATTCTTTGTAGTATGTTGCGTTGTGTACCCACCTAGTTTGAAGCGCATGAACAATGATATGACACCAGATCTGGTTTGCATGCAAGGTAAGTAAGTAAGTAATATAACAAATCATGAAATAATCTAGAGTCTTTATGTGAATGACGAGAGCAGCAAGTTTTTTTTTTGAAGTTTATTTTACCACTAGAATGGAATGACTTCTTTATAATGCTAGTTAAGAAGAAATATGGTAGAGTACGTCAAACAGGACTAAGAACGGAGTACGAAGGTATATCATATAAGCTGTGAATAACGAGCATTGCAAATTAAAGGATTCCAGTTTATAAATTCTACCTCTCGTATAAAAACTTCCACATTCAAAATCTACTACATGGTAAGAGTTTGGTTCGTAATCCCTACGTTTCTTTTTGCTATGACCCAGGAAAGCATCTGGAATTCGTGTCTCCCATAGGAAAGTGCGCTCCAGCTGAACACTGCAGCGCAGGTGCTTGGTCGGAAAATGATGAATTCAAGGTGGAGTAGGTAATTACAGAGGTTTGCTACCTTTCCCGACCTTTTCATTCTCGTCGAGCCCTTGCAAAGATCTTTATATGCGTAAATGCCAACAATGAAAAACTCCATAATTACTCATTATTAGTCGTCAAGAGATTGAATCACATTAACGTCTAGATTATTCTCTTTTGCCAGGGCTTGGCACAGGTGGCTTATATGTAGGTTGAATATCGTTTTTGAAAAAAAGCAAAGGGGATATCGTGTTTGTGACCGAAAAATACGACGTTTTTTAGTCGACGTTTCGTTTTTTAAGGGTTTTTACGCTTATGGTTTGGAATTATAGGGAATTTCGTAAGCTTTTGGAAAACTCAAGGAGACTTCGTTTTTTGCATTTTCGGAAAGCCTCATGCCTAACCCTGTCTTTTGCGGATCAGTTTCATGCAAGGAAGGAAGAAGTAGTGCACTTACGTCTCTTTGGTGGTACGCCCTTCTTTGGAAAATAACGAAAGTTTTCAGTCCTTATATGCGGCTCGTCAATCACCATCCAGGCATGTCTGCGAATAAATCACCACTGTAAGCTGGAAGTCAAGCTACACAGAACTATTCGAACAAACTATTGACAGAATCCAAAAGGAGGGCATGACGCATGACTGTAGTGACGCACAGTTTGTCAACTACAGACAGTTTCTGAGGTTTGCTGAATAAGCAAAAACAGAAAGTATTGAAAGCGTGACAAATTGACAATGTGTGAGCAGCAATAATGTTATCCAACCATAACAGTAAAAAAACAGTAGGATATATTGTAGTAACTTTATTCCTGAAAAGGCACAAGTGATGTCACTTTGTATTATTCGCTAGATTATTTAGCTTTCTAAAGGAAATTATCCCGTAAGCAATAGTCATGCACATTTTCGTCAATTTATACACTCGCTTGATTTCCGTGCAGCCATTGTTCAAACTCTTTAGCTAAAGAAATGCGCAAAATAGTTAGAATGGGTTTGAAAGCTAAATGCTTCACTCCAGAATGATACAGTGAAGATGGATTTGTGTAGTGTACTTTTACGCCAGTTCGTGCCAACTCACTCAAAATTCGCAAGTCCTGAATCGGAACGCAAAGTTCAGCTGCCAAAATGCAACAATCAAAAGAAGTTCCCTAAATTTGATTTAGCATCTAAAAACATTTCCTTCATGTGATCGTCAGCTGGAATTCTGCTAATCTTTGGACCAACAAAGGAAGAGTTCCGGAATCTTTTGAGCATTCTGGCGAAAAGATAGTTAAGCTTAAATGTATACCATCAGCACTAAGTTAGTGAACAATGTAAAAGTTCAAAAAAAAACTTTTTGAACATTAATTTGCTGTTTCGAAAGAGATCCCTCATCAAAAGGACACAACACGTTGAATTAATTATAATCCATAAATTAAGAGTAAGGCACTTTGAATTGCGCTCTTTGAAGTTTGCTTCATCCAATTTACTGCAAAAGCTTGGCATTTATTTGTAGAAAAGGGAGTTCTTGATTTCGGAAGGAGTCAGCGGTAGTCATTTAGCTTAAGGTAACATTATACGGCTCGGGGTTAAGATTTACTTTCCACTTGTGACGCTTGCAAATGGGATGGAGTGTCGTTGAGGATATATGCACATTGAATAACGATAGCAAAAATTGCCCTGTTGGCGCTGACATGAGCATGACTTGACTTGAAGTTTCTATCTTTTTCTTTGGTAGTAACGAATGGAGTTAGTGCAAATGGGAAGATATGTCTGAGGGTCATATCAGGGAGAAAGTCATCTCCTCAACGGTCACTTAAGATTAAAGAAATTCCTAGAGAAACTAGATCAAAACAAAAACAAAAAGCCTCTTTACTTCAATGTAAACACCCTATCTGCCCACACTTTTATGGGAACATATTTCATTGTTTGGAAGATTCTTGCGTACCCACATCTTTGATGAGGGAATCCCTCAGGATCGCTTAGTTCCGCAGAAATCGTTTGTGAGCAAGAAGCAATTCACCGTTGGCAATAGTAGAAATGTAGCATAAATATGAATTGTTAATTCACTTACATACATTCTTTGTTTTATCATGGAAATCCCTTGGAGGTATAATAAAAATATGCTCACATTCCACAAAAACTATTTTTTTAATAGAAACTGCCTTACTCAAAGCCCAAGTCTGAATCTAAGCATTTTGCCTAGAAGAACAACATTATATAGAATAGAAGCTACAAAATAGTGCTGTTTGTACAATGGAGTTACAGAAAAAGTCGATTTGGTCGAGACATAAGACATATCCAATGAAGTTGCTTTATGATGAATTGTGAAGGTTATTGATATGCCGTCTACGACTTCTTTTGCAATGCAATTTCTCTTTTCCTATTTGCTAGTGTCACACGTTTCATTCCAAATCTAATTGTGCAACAGCGTGTTTAGTAGTATTGGCATGTAAAAACTGAGAAAACTTGAACACAAAACAATTTTTTGATCAGGGCAATACATGTGAAAAACAAGCAATAGTTCTTTCCGAGAAACCTAGCTAAACACATCTTGATATTCTTATAACAAGAGTTATTGGAAGAGGTTACAGCAAAAATTTATAATAAATGACATTCAGATGCCGCCAGTTTTTGCAGCGTTATACCACCACGCTTTTAGATGTATAAAATCTGTAGGAAAAAAAAGTCGTGGTAAAGTGTTCAACCGTTGAAATTCTTCCAGCTGGTTTCAAGACCTTCGTCTAAACACTTTATTGCCATTTGTATTATGAGAGTTTACGATAGGTACTTTTTCTTTCATCTTTCCCT